ACCCCTCCCACGGCCAGTACCCCGCGCCTTCCCTCCCATTCGCACATCGTGCTAAAGGCAGGCCCCTTTCCTACCCCGATCTCGCCCTCCAGGTCTTTCGTTCCGGACGAGCAGTGCCAAGGCCGTTCCCCGCAGCTCCTGCTGCAGTCGGCCTTGGCCCACATGCATTACCTCCCGGACGATCCCGGCGCTGCGGGCAAGGCCAGCGCTTACCGGCAGATGGCGCGTCTGTTGCAATACCGAGCGGTGAGGGTCGAGACCCGAACTGGGGTCTGTTCCGGGAGGAGCTGTGCAGCCCGCGCCGTCTGCGAAAGGGCATGGACAGATGGCTTGGGGCTCGCTATCCCGAGAACCGGGAATGACTGGGTTGGAAGTGTCCTGCCCTGGGCAGCGTCCCTGGAGGTCTCTTGGTCCTGATCACAGTGTGGCATCCTCAGCAACCTCTTCTCAGCCTCACCCCTGCTTCCCCAGGTCTCCCTCCTGGAGGAGCTGCTGTCCCCTCTCCTCACCCCGCTGTTCCTGCTCTTCTGGTTTCGCCCTCGTGCCCTGGAGATTATTGATTTTTTCCATCACTTCACTGTGGATGTGGCCGGGGTTGGCGACATCTGTTCCTTTGCCCTTATGGATGTGAAGCGCCATGGCCACCCCCAGGTCAGAGTCCCTCCCTGGGTCTGTGGGGAGGTGGTTAGGTAGGGGTTTGCCCCCCAGCTCCATCACTTGCCACCTGTGACCTGAAGCTAATCACTTCACTGTCTTGCTCCTTGACGTCCTCATCTGTCAAGTGAGGACAATGACCATAGCCGATGCGCAGGGTTTGCATGAGATGATGTGCGTACAACCCTAGCACCAGTAAATGGGAGTGAAGGCCACCCGAGAGGCCGAGAAATGAGCTGGTCAGTGGATGGGGCTGGAGTAAGGCCCAGCTCGGGTCCCACGTGCACAGGCTGGCAGAGCGCTGCGCCCACACTGTCTTCCAGTGCTGGGCGTGGCCTGGCCCTGCTCTGCTGCCCTGTTTGGGGTGATCTCTGGCAAGTCCCTGCTGTGGCTTCCACTCTTGCACCTGGAAACTGGGGCTCATGTTTCCGGTCCCCCTCCCTGGCGAGGCTCCCACTGCAGCTATAGAAGCAGTGTCCACAGCTTTTGTTTTTCTCTTAGTGGCTCTCAGAGGGACAGACCGAGGCCTCGCTGTCCCAGCGTGCGGAGGACGGAAAGACTGAGCTCTCCCTGATGAGGTTCTCCCTGGTGCACCCACAATGGCGCCCCCCCGGGCACAGCTCCAAGTTCCTGGGGCACCTTCGGGGCCGGGTACAACAAGATGCGGCTGCCTGGGGTGCCACCTCGGTTCGCAGCCCCCCCACCCCCAGAGTGCTTAGCGACTCGTCCTCACCTCTGGTGAGCCACAGCCTGGCTGCTCCCATTTCTCTTCCCTCTGCCTGCCTCACCTTGGGCACTGACCTGCGCACTCGCTGGTCCAGCCTGCTCTCCCACCTCTCTGTCCTCTCTTCTGACCCCCTCTTCTCCTGCTTCCAGCCGGAAGCCTTCCTGGCCAACCTCTTGGTGCACCCCCTCATGCCCCCACGGGACCTGAGCCCCACAGCCCCCTGCCCAGCTGCAGCCACTGCCAGCCTCTTGGCCTCCATTTCCCGAATTGCCCAGGACCCCAGGTGAGGCGTGGGGATCTGAGATGCAGGGGAGCCGGGGTGGTGAGGCTGATCCTCCAGGAGGAGGGTGCAGGGGGAGGGGCATGCCTTTGATCTGCGGTACCCTCTGTTCCAGCTGTGTGTCCCCGGGGGGCACTGGGGGCCAGAAGCTAGCCCAGCTCCCAGAGCTTGCTTCTGCTGAGATGAGTCTCCATGCCATCTACCTGCACCAGGTGAGTAGAGAGGTGCCGAAAAGCAAAATGTGGGGAGAGCAGCACAAAATGGGGGTGGGGTAATGTGGAGGGGTAAGGAAGTACCCAACAGGAGCTGGGGGAGGAGGTCACAAAACCCTCCGCCCCCCATGCTGCGTGGGCAGGAGGGAGCCCTCATTCCTCTTTCCATTTAGCTCCATCAGCAGCAGCAGCAGGAACCGTGGGGCGAGGCCTCCTCCCTGTCCAGGCCCTGGTCCAGCCCGCCACAGACACTCTCGCCTGATGACGAGAAGCCATCCTGGTCAAGCGATGGTGAGGCGGGCAAGGTGGGCAGGGGACAGACCCCAGGTAGACAGTGGGCGTCACGGCACTGCCCAGCTGACAGCTTTTCCCGTCAGGTTCCAGTCCTGCCTCCAGCCCCAGACAGCAGTGGAGAACCCAGAGGACGCAGAATCTGTTCCCTGAACAGTTTCAGGAGACCACAGACACCCAGAAGGAGCCTGGCCAGGCCCCGGGCACTGACTGAGAAGGCACCTTAGGGTCAGTATTGTCTAAATGGGGCAGGGGGGTGGGGAACAGGGGAATGAATAGGCAATTGGGTGGAGCCAGACTTGGGGGAATGGGAACGACCGTGGGCATTCAGGGTGAGTGGGTGGTCACCTCTGGCACCCAAACCTCTGGACTACTTGCCAAGAGCCTTCTCCTCTCTCAGGTTCCTCAGCTTCTCCAGCCACAGGAGACTGGATGAGGTGGAGCGGAAGAGCACACCGAACCCTCTTTAGGGACCCCCCCCAGATGCTTTAGTTGGGCAAGACTTGGGGATCAATGACGAACTCGCCCCAGAGAACACAGAAAGGGTAGGAGAGGAGATGCCAAAGGTATCTATCTAGAAACAAGTATTGGAGACAATCGCCCCAGGGAAGGGAGAAGGGGACACCCCCCCCCAACTAGCCGTCCTGGAGCAGGTGCCTGGGAAGAAGTCCCCAAATGTCCTCAGGGTGGGGGCAGGGTCAAGGCAGAAGCCAAGCTAAGTGCAAAGGAAACAGTGAGGGACAGGACCTGAGACGCACTTAGTCCTTTGGTTCCCATGGGACTTGTGGAGGGGGCCACAGGGACCTGTGAGTGGAAAGGCTAGTGAGCGCTGATGTTTTTGGAGTTCGGCATTGCTATGACGTCTGAGGAAGTGGGTGTGGCTCCTCATCCTGTCTGAAACAAGCAGTAAAGGTTGCTCACGGCTGCGTTGCACATCTCTGTGACCTTGGTCTCTGGCATCTCCATTCCTGGCAGCTGAGGGAGGTACCTACTTCTCACTCAAGAGCAAGCGAACCGCACTGGAGAACTGCCTGTGACTGGTGGCCGGGAACCACGGTTCTAGAGTGCCAGGTCGGAGTGGAGTGTGTAGGATGGGACTCGCTATCCAAGAGTTACCACCCCCACATCTGCACAAGTTAAAAGACAGAGCTCGTTGTTCTATAATTTTAATCCACGGGGCTGGGTTAGGCATCTCAGTAGCTCCCATGACATCCGGTTCAGTCTCTTATGAATTCTTCAGTAATAAATATTTGAATGATTTGGAGATTAGGTTTCAAGATAAGATGACTCCTGAGAGAGGTAAGGGAAATCTAAAATTCACCTAAAGGATACAGAAGGGGTGGACAATAGGCCCTGGAATACCACTGCTGGGAGGCGCCTACCATATTTAGTGGGGGGTGAGGGGCAGGGAACCAGGCCTGGAAAGACGAAGGCATTTCGCTTATTCCCAGGGGTTAGGCGAGTCTCCGCAGACTGGACAGACGTGGGAAGGCACCTCAGGAGAGGAGGGAGAGGTGGCAGGTCACGGGAGGCCGACAGGAGAGTAGCAGGGCCACAGTGGACTGACGGTGCCTCTCCTGAAACTGGGGTGGATAGGGAGAAGGAGGGCTCTCAGGGGCCGGGCGTGTCTGGGCCGGGCGGGTCGAACGACCAGGGCACTGCGCCGCGCAGATGCCGCTCCTGCAAGGAAAAGCTCTGGGTGCGAATGCGGCTTGTCACCTCCTGGGTGCGTAGCGTAAGCCCGAAAATGTCCTCGTGATAGCGTTGCTGATCCTGCGGAGAAAAAAGAATGGATCAGAACCCAAGCCAGGAACACTCCTGCGAGCATGCCCCGCCCCCGCCAGGGCCCCGCCCCGCCAGGGCTCCGCCCCTGGCCCCCGCCCGTCGGGGCCCCGCCCCTTGGCACCCGCAGCACGCCGATGACGTCTCCGGCCTCATCCAGCTCCATGTCGCCCTCTGTCGCCAGTATGCGCTGCACTGTCTGCAGGACGCTGGTTGCCATGGTGACATCGCCGCAGACAAACATGTGGCCTCGTTCGAGGCACAGCACGCGGTGCACCTCAGCAGCCAGCTCTGTCCGCAGGATGTCCTGTACGTAGGTCTGAGGGGAGGCGGGGTTAGGGGCGGGCC